TGATTATTGTAAAAATCATAGTTATAAAGGAGACATTCCAGAAATAGACTAATTCTAAGCAGATGAAGCATGCATGCCCGTTACAGGAAGAGGAGGGATTTGAGGAGAAGAGATGACAAACATTGTTACTGTTAATGCTATTGATGTTAGGTGCCGTCAAGTTGGTTCCAACTCATAGTGACTCTATGTGCAATAGAATGAAACCCAGTCTGATCTCGCTCCATCCTCACAATTGTTGCCGTGCTTCCACCCATTGTTTCAGCCACTTTCTCAATTAATCTCATTGAGGGTCTTCCTCTTTTTCACTAACCTATTTTACCAAGCATGATGCCCTTCTCCAGGGACTAGTCTCTTCTGATAACATGTCCAAAGTATGTGAAATGAGGTCTCGCTCTTCCTTCTGACTGGGTTTCTTCAAGACAAATTTGTTTGTTCTTTAGGCAGTACTTTCAATATTGTTCACCAGCACATGTGTTGTTGTTGCTGATAGGGGCCATCAAGTTGGTTCCAACTCATAGCAACCCTTTGTAAATAGAATGCAACACTGCCCAGTCCTGCAGCACACATTAGGCAACACATTAGGAGACACTTGAGAACACGTTAGGTACTTATAAAGAAGGGTATTTTAAAAATTATTTTGAAACATTAGATGAAAGTTTTCAATTTTTGTACATAATGAAGGGAGACATAGTCAAAACAATGAAAGAAAGAAATAATTTTTTTGTTTCCTGAATTGTGAAGTGATAAAATGGGGGAGTCTAGAAGAAGTCTAGTACTAGGCAAATACAGTAGAGTGATTACCTAAAACTAAACTAATGCTATCGTCCTGCAGATTCAGAAAGGGTAGATCTGTAAAATGTAGTAAGAGCCCAGGAATGCAGATTGGTAAAGACAAGGCTCAGTACAACATTGCTCATGAGCTCCAGAAATGGTGATATTGTTCCTAGTAATAGGGGAGGCTATAGGATGATGATAAAAATCAGTCACCAGTGTGCCTAGTTGCCATTGGTATGTCTGATCTTTTGTGCCAGAACCTGGCCATCAGTTAAGTAAGCATTCCTCACTATCCTCCATACTTTCTCTGATTCGGATGCTGCCCTGAGATCACAGCTCTCCTCACTTCAAGATGGCACTCCTAAAGATTGTTTTAAATGTTGAGCAGTAATGGTAGCCACTCCTTATGATAACGAACCTAATGAAATTCTTGGACTAGTTATTTTGGCTTGGTTATATTGATGTGAAATAGTTTCTCACATCTAATTAGATAAACTTCTTCACATCCTGAGAACTCCCAATTTATGTTGAAAATTGAAAAACATCTACACGATAATATAAGTTCTGGGCATACCATTCTAGAATACAACGATTAATTCTCCACTTATCCTTAGTAGTTTATCTGCTGTCTTTGTTACCATAAAGTCGATTTTGACTCATGTGTGCAGAGCAGAACTGCTTTATAGGGTTTTCCCATCTCTTAATGCTTCAGTCTAGGTTGGAACTTAAAAGGGAATCTTCATATGGAAAACAAATGTAGTATGTACCCACTCACTAGATAGGAATGACTAGTAAAGTGACATAGGATTCTGCGTGTTTTTGTGTGTTGGTTGGGGTTTTTGTTTTGCTCTGGCGGTGTAATGCTAAGCTCTTAGCTGCTATTTGCAAGGTGGTGGCTCCAACCCAGTAGGGCCTCTGTAGGAGCAAGATGTGGCAGTCTGGTTTTGTAAAGATTTTCACCCCTGACAACCTTCCATGACAGTTCTACTCATACCATATGAGTAGAGAACTCAGCCCAAGACAAGGTTCAACCTTAGGGTCATATCAAGTTGGTTCCGATTCATAGTAACCTATTAGGACAGAGTAAAACTGGCTCATAAGATTTCTAAGGCTGTAACTTTTACAAAAGCAGACGGCTACATTTTCTCCCATGCAGAGACTAGTGAGTTTGAACTGACAACCTTTTCGGTTAGCAGCTTGGCTCTTAGTCACTGCACTACCAGGCTCCTCCTTATAAGGGAGGGACTGTAATCATCATTGTCTCTTCATTGAACAGGAATGGAGGCACAAAATGTTTAAGTGCTTTATCCAAGATCAAATTGCTAACAAATACCAGAGCCAATGTTTGGATCCAATCATTTTGCACTATATATGATACGCATTGCTCATATTCATCTTTTGTTGTTGTTGTTAATTTTTGTCGTTAGCTCTGACTTGTGGCGAGCTTATGTAAAAGCAGAAGGAAGCTTTGTCCATGTTATCATAGCATGTGCATGAATTAACAGAGAAACCAGAATGTTATCTCCAAATTAAGAGTCTCTTAGATAATATGAATTAAAAAACAAACCAGAATTTGGCTGTATGATAATCTTTCTCCTTTGTGAACTTTTTCAGCAATAGGAAAAATTGGGGTGGGTGGGTGATGTTTTTGTTAAAAAATGTATTCTAACACAGAAAACCAGATGTGAATGGAGAATTAATATTCTGTCCAGTGATAAAAGATAGTGTTCCTGTTCCCATGGGGCTAGGCAATTTTAGTTACTTCTGGGCCCATCTAGATGTCAATGGACTAATAATTGAATGGTGCACTTTTATCTGCTGTCTTTGTTACCACAAAGTCGATTTTGACTCATGTGTGCAGAGAAGAACTGCTCCATAGGGTTTTCTCATCTCTTAATTTCTTTTTAAATGGTGAATAGGTTTTTATTTGTTTGAAGAAAATAAGTTATTATATTAAGTGGAAGCATGCTATGTGCCAGTACTATTTCCCCTGTCTTTCTTTTCCCATTATCATGCCAGCATAATTATTTCTCTAATCTCTTTATCCCAGTCTCCCATCTCATTTTTCTACTATCATTGATTGCAAACCACCTCAAAAACTTCCGGAGAGATGTATAGTTGTGTATGCCCACTGTCTTCAATATAGTGATCATTGACATTGGTTACATTCTTCACATTGCCTCAACAAACTCCTTCTTTCTGACCCACTTCTATTCACTTCATAAGGCACCCTGGTCTCATAGCGGTTCCACATTGGGCTACGATCCTCAAAGTTTGCAACTGTAAATCAGCAGCCACTTGTGGAAGAATGGTGGTTGATTTTTACTCTTGTGAACAGTTACAGTCACAGAAACACACAGGGGCAATTCTACCTGGTCCTAAGGGTTGCTATGAGTCAGCACCAACTGGATAGCAGGGAATCCATTTACTCCATAGAATTTTTAAGATGTAACATCAGCAGTAGGTCTCCAAGCCTGTTTTCCTCGAACAAGGGTTCTCAACCTGTGGGTCCTGCCCCCTTTGGGGGTCGAACAACCTTTTCACAGGGGTCACTCAATTCATAACAGTAGCAAAACTACAGTTATGAAGTAGCAACAAAAATATTTTTATGGTTGGTGGGGTCACCACAGCATGAGGAACTGTATTAAAGGGTTGCGGCCTTAGGAAGGTTGAGAACCACTGTCCTAGAAGCTTCTTGGGTGGATTTGAACCGCCATTATTTTAGTTATTTCAGCACTTAGCCATTTGCACCTGCCAGGTGAATTCTCCCTCACTGAATAATTCGTTCCTGTAAAGTCTGCTTGGTTTTATGAAAGACATATTAAGGAAAGCTGCACCTAATTCTCCTCAAATCTACTCCCTTCCCAACGATTTTTATTCTGTTATTGTTTTGCCATGGTTCACTGCCTTCCTGTTTTAATCTTAAAACACATTTTCAGTGTGGTACCTGTGATAACTGATACTTGAAAAAAAGCATATAGGGATACCAAAGAAACAGAAGGAGCAGGCAGGGAAGCATTCTTTGAGAATGAACAAGACAACAAAGCAGGCTCAATCTGGAGATACAAGAATGTGCTTGGGGGGCGGGAATGAGTGATGAACAAAATGCATATATGCATGTGTTTATGTATACGTACATGCATATATTATCATATTTATAGACACACACATACAGAGACATGTTTTTCTCTTCTGCCTGAGTCAGTCCCTTAAGTTAAGGACGTATTATTTCTGACTCAGAAACGGGCTCAAAAATAGATTTGCATTTCTTCCTTTGTCATCAGAATGACCTGGCCACATGCGCAGTACGTAAAGCCAGCCGGCAGGAAGGTTGGTTTGCCTGTCCAATACTGTAAGGGTAGCAGTAGTTAGATGGTAACGAAGTTCAAGAGGAATTCGTGGTAATATGAGGAAGGGATCACAACTCTTTCACCAATGAGACTGAAAAATGCAGTCTATGAGTACAAATTAACCTCACGAAATAATATATATATATATATATATTGTAATTAAAGTGAATACCGTGCTTGCCATTTCAATAACTTCATGTGAATTCTGCACAACTTCATTTTTGATTCTGGGCCTGTTCCTGACAAAGGTGTTTAAAGGGATATTTTAGGGAGCCTCAAGTGGACGGCAAGCACTCCGGAGCCGTGTCTCTCTACCCTACTGGGCCGGCTCCTCCGCCGCGCACGTGGTGGGCAGCCCTTAGCAGACGGACTTGACAGGTGGAGGTGGGACCAGGCAGGCAGGAGAGCGGCCAACCCTCCGAGGCGGTGCTGTGCCGAGCAGAACGTGGGAGGGAGTTCAGTCGAGAAGGGAGGGGATGGCCGGGGGTGGGCGAGGTGCGGCAAAGGGACCGAGGGGCCCGTGAGACCTGAAGAGG